GTCTCTGTCTCCCCGTCTCTGTCTGTCTGTGTGTGTCCACTCCCCACGCGCTGGCCCCGCCCCCTCGCGCTCCGTCTCTGTCTCTCTGTCTCTCTCTGTCTCTGTCTCCCCGTCTCTGTCTGTCTGTGTGTGTCCACTCCCCACGCGCTGGCCCCGCCCCCTCGCGCTCCGTCTCTGTCTCTCTGTCTCTGTCTCCCCGTCTCTGTCTGTCTGTGTGTGTCCACTCCCCACGCGCTGGCCCCGCCCCCTCGCGCTCCGTCTCTGTGTCTCTCTCTCTCTCTGTCTCCCCGTCTCTGTCTGTGTGTGTGTGTCCACTCCCCACGCGTTGGCCCCGCCCCCTCGCGCTCTCTCTGCGTCTCTCTCTGCCCGCCCGGCCCCGCCCCCGCCGGCCCCCTCACGCTCTCTCTCCCCCAGCCCCCGTCCTGTGGCCCCGAGGATGACGCCCAGCTCCAGCTGGCCCTTAGTCTGAGCCGGGAACAGCACGATAAGGTCAGAGCAGCACCTGGCCCAGAGGCCCCGCAGGCCCGAGGCTCCCAGCCCGGGCTTTCCTTCCTGGTTCTGGGCCCCACCCGCGCTCACACATCCCTCTCAGACACCGGGCTTGGCCCACGGGAGGTGTAGGCGCTCTGGCCGAGGCCCTGCCGACGCCCGCTGCCTTCCCCGCCCTCTCTGAGCCCCATCCGCAGCCTGTGCGCCCCCCACGGCACCTCCATGAGTCTTCATCCTCCTGCCCCGTTCCATCCGTGAGCCGTGTGCCATCGTAATTCCCAGTCACTGTTGTCAACGTGGGAGAGGGTTCTGGGGACGGCACTGGGGGTCTCGACCCCGCAGCCCGGTCTCAGGCTTTGACCTCTGTGTCCTGGCCTCCCCTCTGCCGCGTCTGCCCCGCCCCCGCCCCCGCCCCTTATAGGAAGAGCGGATTCGCCGCGGGGACGACCTGAGGCTGCAGATGGCCATTGAGGAGAGCAAGCGGGAGACTGGGGGCCAGGAGGAGGTGAGGGGCTGTGGGGGAGGGGGCCCTGAGGAGGAGGGGGGCTGAGGGTCCCTGAGGAGGGGGGACTGGGGGCCAGGAGGAGGGGAGGGGCTGTGGGGGAGGGGGATCCCTGAGGAGGAGGGGAGGGGCTGTGGGGGAGGGCATCTCGGGTGGGATGGGTGGGGGGGAGGGGGATCCCTGAGGAGGGGCATTGTTTAGGAAGGAAGGGGTCACTCCTGGTGGTGTGTGGCCTCTGGCTGGCTGGACTTGGGGAGGAAGGTCCTCCCTGTAGGCCATGTGTCTCCTGGGGACATGTTGATGGGGTGTATTTGTCAGGGTGGGGGTAGCACCTTCACACCCAGGGTGACTTCAGCCCGTGCTTGACGGCTGGGCCTGAGCCACGGCCTCCCGTGGGACATGGGGAAATGGTGTGTGCATGAGGGGCGGGGGGCTCTGGAGAGCCCGGAGCACACACTCACTGCAGGGAGGTCAGGTGGGTGTCAGGACAGGCGTGTTCAGGACGACTCGGGGAGGAAGGTCCTCCCTGTAGGCTTACTTCCTGGGCTCAACCTGGTCACGGGGTGGGGTTGGTGGGGGGCGGGGAGCTCTGGGGAGTGGGACCAGGTTAGGTGAGGACTGGCCAGAGGGCCTGGGTGGGACCGAGGGTCCGTCGTGGTTCCTGCTCTGTTGGGAGGTGGACAGGGCCGGGTGGACGCGTGGGGGCTGCAGAGGAAGGGCTGATGGGTGAAGGACCTGGTCTGCGTGGCTCGGCCTCCTGCCCCGTCTGGGCCGGACCCGTTGTCTGTGGGCACCCAGGCCCGTCTGGTCAGCGTGCTTTCCGGACCTCAACCTGTTCCTTGCCTTCCACTTGCTGCCACCCACCCGCCTCACTCTGTTCTCTCGCTCACTGCAGTCGTCCCTCATGGACCTCAGCCTGTTCCTTGCCTTCCACTTGCTGCCACCCACCGTCTCACTCTGTTCTCTCTCGCTCACTGCAGTCGTCCCTCATGGACCTCGCCGACGTCTTCACAGCCCCGGCTCCACAGCCCACCTCGGATCCTTGGGGGGCCCCGGCCCCCATGGCCGCTGCTGCCCCCACTGCTGCCCCTGCTTCGGACCCTTGGGGGGGACCCCCTGTCCCACCTGCTACTGATCCCTGGGGTGGCCCAGCCCCAACGCCGGCCTCCGGGGACCCCTGGCGGCCCGCCGCCCCTGCTGGGCCCACGGCCGACCCTTGGGGTGGGACCCCCGTGCCCGCTGCTGGAGAGGGCCCTACGCCTGACCCATGGGGGGGTGCTGACGGTGAGTGCCTGGGCCCCATGGTCCCTGCCGAGGCTCTGCCTCTGGCGAGGGTCTTTCGTATCAGAGAAGGTTGGCCCCTTGGAGGGTCACGTTGACCTGCTGAGGGGGCAAGGCCTGAAGGGGGGCAGGGGCGGCAGGTGTGTGTTCGGGGCAGGGGTAGAGGGTAAAACTGTCGACAGGGGCAGGGGCTGGGGCTGCCCCGACAGTGGTGGGTGGCCTGGGGCAGGGAGGCTAGGCGGCCGCTCTTTCCAGTGGGGAGATCTGGATTGGCTTCCTGGAGGAGGTGGAGCCTCCCTCTGGGAATAAGGGGCACAGTGCAGTTAAAGGCTCGGAGGTGTCACAGCCTGAGGGGCACAGTGTGTGGGAGAGAGGCAGGGACGAGGTGGGCATAGGGTGGGAGAGGTGGGCTGGGCTGCCTGCTGGGGTGGGGATGTCCCGGGGCAGGTAGGCCTGAAGGAGACGTGGGGGGACGGGCATGACCGTGAAGAGAGGAAATCGGGCCGTGGAGGAGACATGATCTCGGAGCCCTGGGCTGAGGCCTGCGCTGCAGGGCCGTGTGCTGGGAGCGGGCAGCCTGGCACAGGCCGTGTGCAGGTGGGGTGTTGGGTGCCCCCTGGAGGCTGACAGTGGCCTGCCCCTCAAGGAGTCTCGTTCCTCAGCAGGTGGGGCTCCGGTTAGTGGAACCCCTGCCTCGGATCCCTGGGCCCCGGCCCCGGCCTTCTCGGACCCCTGGGGGGGGTCACCTGCCAAACCCAGCACTAATGGCACTGCAGGTACCAGTGTGCTTGTCTGTGCACGCACGCGTAGGCCTGTAGTGAGTGCGTGAGCGCGCGCGAGTGTGTGTGTCCGTGGACGTGTTGTGAGTGCGTGAGTGTGCACACGTGTGTGTCGGGTGCATGAGTGTGCTGCATGCATGTGTGCGTGTATGGGCGTGTCTGGGGGGCCCGGGAGCAGTGGGCCATTCAGCAGTGTGTTCTGTCTGCAGTTGCAGGATTTGACCCTGAGCCTGATGAGTTCTCTGACTTCGACCGACTGCGGACGGCCCTGCCCACCTCCGGGAGCAGCCCAGGTGGGCCCCTGCCCCTCCCTGCACAGGCGCTCTGCCCCACTGACACCCAGGGGGCCTGACGCCCCTGCCCCGCTGATGCTTGGGGGCCTTGACGGCCTGGCCCTGCTCACGCCAGAGGGCTGGGACCCCCATACCCCACTGACACCCAGGGGCCCTGACACCCCGGCTCCACTGACTCCCTGGGGACCCAGACCCCTCTGCCCCACTGATGTCTAGGGACCTTGATTCCCTGGCTCCACCGACGCCCAGCCCCGCTGATGCCTGAGGGCTGGGACCCCCCTGCCCCACTGACGCCCGGGGGCCCTGACACCCCGGCCTGGCGTGGCGCTGGGTCCTGGGCCCCGTCCCTCCCTTTGTCTGATTGTGGTTGGGCAGACGTCGAGAGGAAGAGCCAGGTGGTGTAGAATGTGGTCCCTGGAGACAGGCTTCCACTTGTCGTTAGAGACGTTACCTTTGTTTTGAAGTCATTTCAGAGTTGGCGAGAAACTGCAAAGAATCGCCTCCCCGCGGGTCCCCGCGCTGCCCCCGCCCCCCGTGGGCACAGAGAGTCTCTGTGGCTGTTGGTCGATGCTGGTGGTCTGCGATGCGGGAGACCCCACGACCGCACAGTAGAACTGCCCCGTCAGGTTCAAAGACTCCCCTCCACTGGAGCAGACTGCCCTGTGCCCTTCCGGGGTGCTGTTGGGGGGCTTGAGCCGCCAGCTTTCCGGTTGGCAGCCAAGCACATCACCACTGTACCAGCAGGGCGCCAGGGCGCCTTTCTGCGCAGAGCCCAACCAGGAAAAACGAACCCGTTGCTGACAGGTTGATTCTGACTCTGCAACCCTGTGGGACAGTAGCACTGCCTCAGGGTCTCCCGGGCTGTGTTCTTGACACGAGCAAGTTGCCGGGTCACTCTCCCGTGGAGCCACTGGGTGGGTTTGAACCACTGTTCTGCCGGTCAGCAGCCCACCGCTTAACCACAGGGCCACCAGGGCTCCTGAATTCAGCAGCAGGGAGATTTTTTTTTTCTCATTGTGATTTGGGTGAAAGTTTACAGAGCAAATTCACTTTCCATACAGTGGTTCACATGCACATTGTCTCATGACATTGACTACAATTCACCACAATGCAACAGCTCCCCTCCCACTTCTTCCCGATAGTTACCTCTTCCTCCCTTCATGCACTCCTGCTCCCTGAGCTGTCTCCCTGTGCACACACAGCCCTTCTTTCTCCCATGATTGTTCTCTCCGAGGAGAGTATCTACCTCAGGTACATGTTCAGCTCATATGCCTGTCTTTTGTTTGGCTGGAAGCCACAGGTGTGGGTTCAGTTCCAGACCTGAAGGGCAGCTGGGGGCCATAGTCTCAGTGGTTCCACCAGGCTCTATCAGAGCAGCAAACCTGGTGCCCCACCCCCTTTTTTTTCTCCAAATGATTTTGATTTGTTCTGCATTGTTCTCCCTCTCTATCCAGGATCTCCTCCATAGATCCCCCTCCAAATGGTTGACAGCGGTAGCTGGGCACCATCTAGTTCTTCTGGTGTCATAGTCGTATAGGCTGCAGATTGCATAGTATACCAGTCAGTAGGACTAAATATTTCCATGAATCTGGTTTTCTTCATTCGTCTTTGCTCTGGACGAGGAGAGAACCATCATTGCATCTAGATGGTTCCTTGCAAGCTTTTAAGATCCCAGTCACTACTTGCTAAAGTAGGAGGTGGAACAGTGTTTTGTGTAGTATGTTATGCCAGGTGAGCTTGATGTCCCCTGTGACTTTGGTCCCAAGCCCAAGGTTCAACTACTTGGTCCCTCTGAGTAGCTGGCTATGACCAAGAAGTGACTACAACCTTGTCATTAGGGAGAATTGTTTATTTATTTATTTATTTATTGTGATTTGGGCGAAGATTTACAGAGCAAATTCACTTTCCATACAGCAGTTCACATATACTTTGTCTCATGTCATTGACCACAGTTTATTTACCACAGTGCAACAGCTCCCCTCCCACTTCCTCCCCATAGTTACCTCTTCCCAGTGTCCATCCCTTCATACTCTCCTGCCCCCTGAGCTGTCAGGGAGAATTCTTATATGTGTATGTATATATATATATATATATATCTTTTAAAAAAGGTCAGGCCTCTTGGTCCCTGGTGTCGGCCAGTGTGAGGGCCCTCAGACCCGCCGTGTTCCCTCTGGCGGCCAGTCAGGGCCGTGTCTCGCCTCCCGGGGTCACGGGTTGTGGCTGATTCTTGGCTGAAACAAGTGCTGTTACAGTCTTTGCCGAACGGTGATGCACTGGTTCCCGGGTCACAGGCATCTGTGCGCGTTTTGCAGCCGTCCCTACTGTTGATTCCCCAGGCCAAAGTTCTGCCCGTGATGGCAGCCCCCTAGGCGTGTCCCATCCCCGGCCACCCCGCCGGTTTCCCTGCACCGTCTGGTGTGGGTGCTCCGGTTAGGGGGTGTCCTGTACTCGCCCTCCCTTCCTCAGTGTGGGGCATTTCCTGGTCCATTCGCACGCAGCCTCAGGACCTCGTTTCTCTTAGTGGCCGAGTGGTGGCCCGTGGTGTGGGTGGGTCACATTGTACCCGTCTGTCAGTGGATGGGCGCTTTGGTGGTTCCCCCTTGGGCTGTTGTGAGTGACGCACTGGGCACTTGGCCGTACGTGTGTCTGCGTTGCTGCCTTCAGTTATTTGGGGCAGACACCTAGGGGTGGCATCGTTGGGTCCTATTGCGGCCTGTATTTGACTTGGAGGAGTTGCCCAGCTCTTTTCCGTAGCAGCGGCCCCGTCTTACAGCCCCACCGTGTGGACGGGCGTCCCGGTTCCTCCGCACGCTCACAACACGTGCCCTTCCGTGTCCTGGCTAGTGGCCGTCCTGGGGGACCTGGGTGTCTGCCTCCTCTCGCCAGCAGCACCTTCTCTCTCATACTTGGTCCTCCTCCCTTTCGAGGCTTCCGGGTACCTGCCCTCTGCCCCCCGGGGACGCCCGGCGGCCCCCTGAGCCCCTCCCTGCTTCCTTCCAGGGGAGCTGGAGCTGCTTGCAGGAGAGGCGCCCGCCCGCAGCCCCGGGGCCTTCGACATGAGTGGGGTCGGGGGCTCCCTCGCTGAGGCTGTGGGGAGCCCCCCGCCTGCAGCCAGCGCGACCCCCACTGCCCCAACACGGAAGACGCCCGAGTCATTCCTGGGCCCCAACGCAGCCCTCGTGGACCTGGACTCGCTGGTGAGCCGGCCCAGCCCCACGCCTGCGGGAGCCAAAGCCTCCAACCCCTTCCTGCCGAGCGGTGAGCAGCCCATCTGTCCCACCCCTGCCCTGCTGTGTCCCCAGCCTTTGCCCGGCCCAGCCAGGCCTGGGGACTCACGAGGCCCGCTGCGTCCGCGCGTCCAGGCGGCGTGTGGGGTGTGGGCGGCGGCTGACCCTGTGCTGTGCACCCGTTTCTCCCTCACAGGTGCCCCGGCCTCCGGCCCCTCGGTTACCAACCCATTCCAGCCTGCGCCCCCCGCGACGCTCACTCTGAACCAGCTGCGTCTCAGCCCTGCGCCCCCAGTCCCTGGCGCACCGCCGACGTACATTTCTCCTCTTGGGGGAGGGCCTGGCCTGCCCCCCATGATGCCCCCGGGCCCCCCGGCCCCCAACACTAACCCCTTCCTCCTATAATCCGGGGGAGAGGGGGACTTGGCCTGGTGCCCCCGTTTTTGCTCCCCGGGGATCAGTATTGTGAGTGCATGTGAAACGGGGCCCCACCCCCACCCAGCCCCCTCCCGTCCTGGGGCCCACTCACACTACATCCTCTTCCCACTGCCCCCTACTCCCCCTGCCCACAGAGAAACTGGACCTGGGGGTGGGAGGGGTGCTGGCAAGAGGAGGAGCCCTTTCCTGCAGCATTAGAAGGGGGAGGGACAGCTGGGGGTCCCCGCCCACCCCTCCCCTAAACTCCGGACCTCCCCTCAAACAGTGTTGGAGCCTCCTTGTTCCCCACGCACCCCTCAAATCCCCGGTGATGATTTTGGCAACTTCGGGAATAAACGGCAGATCTCTTGGGCGGGGCTCCCCCACGTCCCCTTCTGTGGTCGTGTGTTCCCACAGCTCTGCCCTACACCCCAGGACCCTGGCTTCGGAGTCACCTTGCTGACCTTGGGGGCAGCTGGGACTCCGCCTTTCTTGGAGGCCTTGACACCCCTAGCCCTTTGGGGTTCAGTGGTGGGCTGTGTTGAGGGCAGCCTGTGAGCTGCAGACCGTGGGGGCTGGCCAGCGGACACCCTGTCGGGTCAGGAGGCTCCACACACGCGGGTCGGGAGGCCAGGGCCGGCCAGTGGAGGCCCTCAAGCTCGTCGGCGTCAGGTTGTGGCCAGAGCTGCTGTGTGAGGTCATTGAGGAGGAGGTAGCATCAGTGATGACAAAGGTTCTTAGCAGAGATGGCAAACAGCATGTCACTGCTGCGAGGCCATGTCTGCCTGTCCTCGCCTGTGCCTGCGGCGGGTGTCGCCCACCCGCGGCCCTCGCCTGTCAGGTGTCGCCGACCCACGGCCCTCGCCTGTGCCTGCGGCAAGTGTCACTGACCGGCGGCCCTCGCCTGTGCCTGCGACAGGTGTCACCCGCGGCCCTCGCCTGTGCCTGCGACAGGCGTCGCTGACCCACGGCCGGCACCACTCCCCTCTAGGCAGCACCAATCCATGACAGAAGTTAGGGAGCTGAGGTGGCAGCACCAAGTCATGTTTGTAAGACCAAGACCACTCCCACTGCCATCGAGTTAGTACCGACTCCTAGCCACCCCCTTTGGGTTTCCGAGGCAGTGAACTTTCGTGGAATAGGTTGTCCAGGCTTTGTTGTGCCAGCTCATACTAGACAGCACCAGTCTGCTGGGTTGTCCTGATTCAGGGCAAATGGCCCTAGTTCACATTAGACAGTGGCAATCCGTGGCAGGCAGCCCTGACATGCCAGGCATCACTAATCTATGCCCGAGGACCTATAGGAGGCATCACTAGTTCAGGCAGGGCACACCGACGCAGGGCGGGCAGCACTAATCTGTCCCGGGACATGGAGCGTTTGCTGGCTCCGGAAGCCCTGGTGGCCTCTGCTCGTGAGCGCACTCATGGGTGGCCTTGTCCTGGTCCCGTTCCACCAGTGCCATCCCGGGGAGGCCTTGAGCCATCCAGAGAGGCGGGGCCGCTGCCCTCTGCACAGTGGGGTCCTCACACCCCCTCTATGGTGTGGTGCTGTCTCTGGCTGGGGCCATTCTTCAGCCACTCCAACAATGGGCTGCAGGCCTTGGGGTGCAGGCTGAGCTGGACCCAGGACCCAGGACTCAGAAGTCACTAGACTCATATCTGTTCAAGAGATGCTCCTCGGGCCAGGGGACAGGCCATCGTGATGAGGGGCGTGTGCTATAATGGGGGCCCAGAGAGGCCCTCTGCCAGCCTGGGTACCAGGAGGGCCACTGAGGAGGTGCGATGGGCGACCTCGGCGCCCCGGTAGTCCTGTTGTTTTTGTAGCCACCTCAGGTTGAGCAAAGTCGCCCTTTGTTAACCTTGAGGTGTGTGAGTTCGAGCCTTGGGGACGCCCCCCGTGCAGCTGCTGCCATACCAACTGTAGAGTAAACCCAAGAGCAGGTTCTCTGCAGGAGTCCCTGAGCCAAAAGGTGGGTGGTGCGAACCCACACAGGCACCTCGGGAGAAAGGCCTTTGAAACCTCCTGTTCTCTGACACACATGGTGTCAGGAGGTGGGATCGACTAGATGACAGCCGACGAGGAAATGCCTTGCTACTGGATGGGAGAGGCACCCTACCCATCAGAGTGCACTGTGGGGGCAAGGCCAGAGTGACCCCGCCTCTAGCAGACCGGCAGTGTCCTGGGGGGCCGTGGGCTCCACAGACGCACCCACTGAGGGAGGGCCGCGGGCCCAGGGAAGCTGGGACTTGGGGGTGTTGATTGGTTTGAGACTGAGGGCAACAGGAGAACATCTCACCCGCTCGGCCCTGAGAGGACAGCCCGTTTCTCAAGCTCTGGCCAGGCTGGGGAAGGTCCCCGGATGGCACGGTCTGCTCTCGGCTGCAGCAGGTTGGCGGTTTGAACCCACCCAGTGGTGCTGCTGAAGAGAGAGCTGTCTGCTTCCTTCAGGTCGCGGCCAAGACAACCCCGCGGGGCAGCTCGGCCCTGCGCCTCGGGGCGCTGTGATCGGCATACGCTCCAAGGCAACGGGTCTGGTTGCTTTGGGTCACGTTGGGGTGAGGGAATTCCCGGGGAGGAAATGGGCTGCTGCCAGGGAAAGGGGTGTGGTCACTGGTTCCCTGAAACCTTCCCGCCCCTCTCTGTGGGAGCAGGAGGCCTCAGCACCCCACATCCAGCTGTTCGGCCTGAGCCCCCAAACGGTGGACTGGGGTCATGTGCTGCAGGGTCCCAGCCTCGCAGACGGCAGCAGAGCCTCCGTGACATCGCGGTTCTCCAAGACCACATGGCCACTGCGATCCCGCAGCCCTGGGTCACGGACTCAATCCGCGTTCAGTGATGCCATGCTTCCCACGCGCCTCTTACAAGAAGCATGTCAGGCGCCGTGGAGTCCGCCCCTACGACAAGGAAACCCTGCCGGCTCCTGCGGCAGCCCCTCCTGCAGCCCCTGACGGTCCGTCACACTGACGGCCTTCGCCTTCCGGGCTGACCCGCCACTTTACCGAGCACGGTGTCCTTCCCCGGGGACGGGCCCCCCTGACATGGCAGTACCGACGAGGGTGACTGGCTCGGCCTGGCCCAGTGGCAGGGCTGGAGGTCAGAGACCTTACTCAGTTTCCTCGGTTCTCAGCGGGCGTGACCACCTCGAAGGCACACGGCATAAACGGAGCTCAACCGGCCTCATTGCTCCTGCATCTTCCTTGTCTCCTTTCCTTCCGACATCCAAGGCCCTTCTGTCACCTTCTATCACTCTGTCCACAAGGTTCCAGCCACCATAGTTCCCCACAGGTGCTGCCATTCGAGGCTGGCTGCCCCCTATGGAGAAGAGGCCTGGTGGCACCGTGGTTAAGGACGCGGCTGCTGAGAGGCCAGCGGTGCAGACCCACCAGCCGGTTCATGGGAGAAACACCTGGGGGGCGGCTCGCTCACTCACTGCGTCGAGTTGGATCAGACTCGGACCCCTCCTTGGGTTTCCGAGGTGGTATCTCTACGGAAGTAGATGGCCCAGCCTTCCTTCCAGCTGGTGGGTTTGAACCATCAGCCTTCTGGTTAGCAGTCAAAGGCCTGAAATACTACACCACCAGAGCCCATAAAGCTTACAGCCTTGGAAACCCTCTGGGGCAGTTCTACTCTGTCCTCTAGGGGCGCTGTCAGTCAGAATCCACTCAAAGGCGGTGGGTTTCAGGTTTGGAAGGAGCTCTGGTGAGGCGTAGTGCCTAAAGCATTTGACTGCTAACCAGAAGGCTGGCTGTTCAAACCCACCAGCCACTCGGCGGAAGGAAGACTGGGCAATGTACTTCGGTAAAGATTTAACGCTTCGGAAACCCAAAGGGGGTCACTGTGACGCAGAATCGACTTGATGGCAGTGAGTTTGGTTTGGTTCATTGGAGTCCTAAAACGTGAACACCTGGCTTGTAGAGTCCTCCATAACCAGGAACCCCCAGGAGAAGCACAGGGTGCATGTGTCGGCTGCTGACCAGGAGGTTCGTGCTTGGAGTCCGGCCAGAAGTGCCTCGGAGACTTGCTGATCCGCTCCTGAGAAATCCCTGGAAACGCTGTGGAGCCCAGTTCGGCCCTGACGCGCGGGGCGCCACGGGCCGGGCAGACGGGACTCCGGCACCTGGCGCACTGACGCTTCTGTCGAACGAGTGCATTCATGATTCATTCATTTATCCTGACCACGCGTACCTCAGTTTTCCTTTCACTGACTCAAGGGCACATATGTCCTGCGGCCCCAGGTGTCGGGTGTCACACAGGCTGAGCGGCTCCAGGTGTGGAGGGTTGTGTGGGAGTGTTTCTGACCAGAGCGTTAGAAATGGACCAAGGCCCCTGGCACAGAGCTCTGGGTGGGTGGAGGGGGTGGCCCCTCAGTGTAGGGCTTGCGGGTTGGGCCATGAGGAATCCGAGGACACCCTTCTTGGGCTTGTCCGCCTCTCAACCGGCAGGTGGTGCCAGAGACTGAAGTCCCTGCAGCCTGGCTTATGAGCGCCCTTTCTCATTGACAGGAGCTCTCGCGGCCTAGTGCCTAAGGCACTTGACTGCTAACCAGAAGGCTGGCGGTTCAAACCCACCAGCCACTCCTCGGAAGGAAGGCTGGGCAATCTCCTTCTGTAGAGATAGCGCCTCGGAAACCCAAGGAGGGGGGGTTCTCGTTGACACGCAGGCCATACTGTCTGGGAACTCATCAGACAGAACAATGAACGCGTTTTCTCGGTTTTAGGCCTCCTCACCCTCTCGGGACACGCTAGTCACTCACAAGCCCTCTCACGTTCTCACCCACGCTCTTACACATGCCCCACACTCTTAGCCATTCCTTCTCTCTCCGATGCACACTGCCATTTTTACCGACATACCACTGTGGACGCCCACACTGGCATGTGAACGTGTACACTTTTTGGAGTAGATCCCCCCTTGTGCACATGCTTACACACAAGGAATAAATAATCGTTGTTGCTAGGTGCCGTCAAGTCATCTGTTCAGTTCCCTGGTGC